TCCCTATCTCTTATGTTGCTTTTCCTTCTTGTGGGGTGTCCCTGTTTCTCTTGAAGATGCAGAAAACGATTGGAAAGGACACCCGTTCCATCGCCCATGTGTAGGGAAAGAGAGAGAATCATGAGCATCAGCTGGGCTTGCTGCCAATCCAACATGGGCGTCCCTTTTAATCGCAGTCTGTGTCCTTTTTCTCGCTTGAAGATGCAGAAAACGATCCAAAAGCACATCTGTTGGAGGAAGAGAGAAGGAGAGAGGAGAGATACCAAGGATTGCATATTTAATGGGAAGAGCAAGGAAGAGAATAGAAGACAGATGAATAGAGAGGGAGAGACAAAACAAGGCGCAGAGAAGATGGCACTCTTCTTTATCTATTCTCTCTCCCTTGTTTCTCCCTTCCCTCTTTCTTTTCGAAATGAGAAAAACAAAAAGGAAGAACTATGAGAAGGAGAAGAGTAAGGAAAGGAACAGAAGAGATAGGCCGAGAGGATGAATATGATGGAGTATTACGGAAAGGCTCACGCGCAAGGAGTCACCCTCTGCTTACCTTTCCACTGCTTTATCATATGAGTTCCTTTCTTGTGTTTTATCAGTTAAAAGGAAGCAGAAGAGAAGGGAAAAGCAAAAATTGAGCCCAACATTTTAGGACCAGGGCTTGCGATCTGACTCTTTGGAGCAAAAATCGATTCCAAAATCTTACGGACCAGGGCTTGCGATGTTACTCTTTGGAGCAAGAAATGAGCCCAAAATCTTAAAGACCGGGGCTTGCGATTTCACCTTTTGGAGCAAATACTGGGCCCAAAATCTTAGGGACCAGGGCTTGCAATTTGACTCCGTGGAGCACAAATCGACCCCGAAATCTTAGGGACCAGGGCTTGCGATTTGACTCTGTGGAGCACAAATCGACCCCGACAACTTAGGGACCAGGGCTTGCGATTTGACTCTTTGGAGCAAAATCGACCCAAAAATCTAAGGGACCAGGGCTTGCGATTTTACTCTTTGGCGCAAAAACTGGGCCCCAAATCTTAGGGACCAGGGCTTGCGATGTCACTCTTTGGAGCAAAATTGAACCCAAAGTCTTAGGGACCAGGGCTTGCGATTTGACTCTTTGGAGCAAAAACTGGGCCCCAAATCTTAGGGAGCAGGGTTTGCGATTTGACTCTTTGGAGCAAAAACTGGGCCCCAAATCTTAGGGACCAGGGCTTGCGGTTTGACTCTTTGGAGCAAAAATTGAACCCAAAATCTTAGGGACCAGGGCTTGCGATTTGACTCTTTGAACCAAAAACTGGGCCCAAAATCTTAGGGACAAGGGCTTGCGATGTCACTTTTTGGAGCAAAAAATGAACCCAAAATCTTAGGGACCAGGGCTTGCGATTGGACTCTTTGGAGCAAAAACTGGGCCCCAAATCTTAGGGACCAGGGCTTGCGATTTGACTCTTTGGAGCAAAAATTGAACCCAAAATCTTAGGGACCAGGGCTTGCGATTTGACTCTTCGGAGCAAAAACTGGGCCCAAGATCTTAGGGACCAGGGCTTGCGATGTCACTCTTTGGAGCAACAATGAATGCAAAATCTTAGGGACCAGGGCCTGCGATTTGACCCTTTGGAGCCAAAATTGAACCCAAAATCTTAGGGACCAGGGCTTGCGATTTGACTCTTTGGAGCAAAAACTGGGCCCAAGATCTTAGGGACCAGGGCTTGCGATGTCACTCTTTGGAGCAAAAAATGAACCCAAAATCTTAGGGACCAGGGCTTGCGATTTGACTCTTTGGAGCAAAAACTGGGCCCCAAATCTTAGGGGCCAGGGCTTGCGATGTCACTCTTGCACTCTTTGGAGCAAAAAAAAACAACCCAAATCTTAAGGACCTTCAGGGCTTTGCGAGTCCTCTTTGGAGCAAAAATGAACCCAACATCTTAGGGCTAGGGACCAGGACGTGCGATGTCACTCTTTGAGCAAAACTGGGCCCCAAACTTAAGAACCAGGGCTTTGCGATGTCCTCTTTGGAAGCCAAATGAACCCAATCTTAGGGACCAGGGCTTGCGATGTTTCTCTTTGGAGCAAAAACTGGGCCCCAAATCTTAGGGACCAGGGCTTGCGATGTCACTCTTTGGAGCAAAAATTGAACCCAAAATCTTAGGGACCAGGACTTGCGATGTCACTCTTTGGAGCAAAAACTGGGCCCCCAATCTTAGGGACCAGAGCTTGCTATGTCACTCTTTGGAGCAAAAATTGAACCCAAAATCTTAGGGACCAGGGCTTGCGATTTGACTCTTCGGAGCAAAAACTGGGCCCCAAATCTTAGGGACCAGGGCTTGCGATTTTACTCTTTGGAGCAAAGATTGAACCCAAAATCTTAGGGACCAGGGCTTGCGATTTGACCCTTTGGAGCAAAAACTGGGCCCAAAATCTTAGGGACCAGGGCTTGCGATTTGACTCTTTGGAGCAACTGGGCCCAAGATCTTAGGGACCAGGGCTTGCGATGTCACTCTTTTGGGCAAGAAATGAGCCAAAAATCTTAGGGAGCAGGGCTTGCGATTTGACCCTTTGGAGCAAAAACTGTGCCCCAAATCTTAGGGACCAGGGCTTGCGGTTTGACTCTGTGGAGCAAAAATTGAACCCGAAATCTTCGGGACCAGGGCTTGCGATTTGACTCTTCCGAGCAAGAAATGAGCCCAAAATCTTAAGGACCAGGGCTTGCTTTGGAGCAAAAAACTGAGTCCAAAATCTTAGGGACCAGGGCTTGCGATTTGACTCTTTGGAGCAAAAACTGAGCCCCAAATAATAGGGACCAGGGCTTGCGATGTTACTCTTTGGGGCAAGAAATGAGCCCAAAATCTTAGGGACCAGGGCTTGCGATGTTACTCTTTGGGGCAAGAAATGAGCTCAAAATCTTAGGGACCAGGGCTTGCGATGTCACTTTTTGGAGCAAAAACTGTGCCCTAGTGTTGGGGGGAGGAGGGCTCGTGATTTAGTATTGGGAGGAGGCCCGGGCTCGTAAATTAGTATTGGGGGGAGGCCCGGGCTCGTGATTTAGTATTGCGGGAGGCCCGGGCTCGTGATTTAGTATTGGGGGGAGGCCCGGGCTCGTGATTTAGTATTGGGGGGAGGCCCGGCCTCGTAATTTGGAGGCCTGGGCTCGTGATTTAGCCCGGGCTCGTGATTTAGTATTGGGGGGAGGCCCGGGCTCGTGATTTAGTATTGCGGGAAGGCCCGGGCTCGTAATTTAGTATTGGGGGGAGGCCCGGGGTCGTGATTTAGTATTGGGGGGAGGCCCGGGCTCGTGGTTTAGTATTGGGGGGAGGAGGATGCCCCAGCCCCCACCCCCCAAATGAATTACTTGAATTAATTGAAATAATTGAATTAATTCAATTAATTCAATTAATTGATTTATTTCCAAAGGTGAGGTGGAATTAATTTAATTAATTGAATTAATTCAATTATTTCAACTAATTCAAGTAATTCATTTATTTCCAAATGGGGGATTCCCCAGCCCCCACCCCCCCCCCCTTTGGAAATAAATGAATTAATTCAATTAATTCAATTAATTGAATTAATTGAATTAATTCAATTAATTCAATTAATTCAATTAATTCATTTATTTCCAAAGGGGAGGTGGAATTAATTGAATTAATTTAATTGAATTTCAATTAATTCAATTAATTCATTTATTTCCAAAGGGGAGGTGGAATTAATTGAATTAGTTGAATTAATTCAATTATTTCAATTAATTCAAATAATTCAATTAATTCTTCATTTATTTCCAAAGGGGGGGGAGGGTGGGGGCTGGGGAATCCCCCCATTTGGAAATAATTGAATTAATTGAATTAATTGAATTAATTGAATTAATTGAATTAATTGAATTAATTGAATTAATTGAATTAATTGAATTAATTGAATTAATTGAATTAATTGAATTAATTCCAATTAATTCAATTAATTCAATTAATTCAATTAATTCATTTATTTCCAAAGGGGGGGGTTCAATTAATTCAATTAATTCAATTAATTCAATTAATTCAATTAATTCAATTAATTCAACTAATTCAATTAATTCCACCCCCCCCTTTGGAAATAAATGAATTAATTGAATTAATTGATTAAATTCATTAAATTCCAGGGGGAAAGTGGAAATTAAGGAATTTAATGAACTAATTCTGTCTGTGCAACCCTACAGGACCTAAAATAGGGTCTATTTGGAACATGGCTCTTGTGAATAAGTATACGTTTTGGGGCCTGTTTTCCTCTTGTAAATACGATTCCCAGCTTCCAAATAGACCCTATTTAAGCTGCACACGGGGGGGGGGGGGGGGGTTCGGCGGTCGAGTTTAGGGTTTTGGGTTGAGGGTTTAGGGTTTGGGGTTTAGCGTTTTAAGTTGTGGGGTTTAATTAGGGTTTGGGGTTTCGGGTTGAGGGTTTAGGGTCAGGGGTTTAGGTGTTGGGGCTTGAGGTTTGGGGTGCAAGGTTAGGGTCTCGCCAGCGTCGCCGTGGGGGGAGGGGGGAGGCGGGGCGGGGGGCTTAGAAGACGTTCTCGATGATATTCGTTGGTTTGTTGCGCGGGCAATAGAAAAAATAACGGAATGAATACATATATATATATATGTGTACACACACACACACACTTTCTCATGTAAACAATTCATGCATATGTATATATATATATATATATATAGATATGTACCTTCATACACATAGGGTTTCTAGGGTCGTCATTGAGGACTCCCTGTGCAGGCTCCCCAAAAAATAACGTCTACTGCCCTGTCATATCGGAGGTGCCCAAAAAAAGGGGGTGGACCACTGCTTCTCACCAGGGCAACGCGAAACATCACACAAGACGTCATGCCAACAAACCAAACTCCTTAAAAGACACCATCCTATCTCGAAGGCTCCGACCCTAAACCCTAAACCCTAAACCCTGAAACCCTAAACCCTAAACCCTAAACCCTAAACCCTAAACCCTAAACCCTAAACCCTAAACCGTAGCTTAAGAGCTGACCCAAGTGCACCTTCAAGGTCGGACGACGTAGGAATCGGCTGAGCCTTGGCCTCAGGGATTCTGGGCCACTGGGGGGTGGAGTTGGGAGTTGGGTTTAAGGTTTCTGGGTTGTGGGTTTTGGGTTTAGAGTTTAGGGTTTAGGGTCTGCAATTCAGGCTTGGAGCTTCTTGGGGTTTTCTGGCAGGGTTTTGGGGCTTGGAAAGTTTATGATTTAGGGGGAATCTCCGAGCTCAAAGAGAACGACTTGAAGGGCGTGGGCATCAGGATGTCTTTCCCGGCCCAGGAGAAACCTAGGAATAAACAAGGGTGCTCTTTTGGTTTTTAAGGGTCTTATAGGGGGAACCTAAGCCCTAAAAAAAGGGAATAAGGGCCTAATTACCCTGGGTCCAAGTTTCAGGTAGATACGACAAGAATGTGCCGCATGGAGGGTGCGGCCAGGACGACTAGAACCGCCTTGATTTCAGGCCCACAAATTTCCCAACCTAGGCGCATACTGGTTTAGGGTTTAGGGCTACACTCTTCTTCCGGCAGTTTGCCCAGAACTCCCTGCTGTAAAAGAAATGCGCCGGAAGACCGAGGCCAAACCCTATACCCTACACCCTAAACCCTACTTTCTTAGAGCGCGGAGCAAGCCTACCACTGCATGTGAGGGCACCCTAAAACCAAAACCCTAAACCCTAAACCCTAAACGCTAAACCCTAAACCCTAAACCCTAAACCCTAAGCTGTTTCTCAATCTGAGCTCGCTCACTGGGCGCTTGCAGCCATGAGGGCCTTGTCGCACCGACCAGCACCACTGTGATGGGATTAGGGTTTAGGGTTTAGGGTTCAGGGTTCAGGGTTTAGGGTTTAGGTTTAGGGTTCAGGGCTTAGAGTTTAGTGTTTAGTAGAACCACGCTCTTAAAATAGGCTGGAGACTTGCATCTTCTGGGTCCTAGGGGTGGTGTTTGCAAGCGCCAGGTTGAGGGCCCGGGCACCGCTGAATCTTGGGATTGGAAAGCCTCATGGGGGTTTAGGGTTTAGGGTTTAGGGTTTAGGGTTTAGGGTTTCGGGGTATGCCAGAGTTTTGCCCACAAGGGCAGGCAGTGCTTAAGCCCCAGCTGCACCTCTCTGGTGCGCGTTTAGGGCTTCGAGCTTCGGGTTGTGCCTGAAAGAATTTAGGTTGCCCAGTAACCTAGGATGAAGAAGGGTGCCCTTTTTTGCTTAAAGGGGTTTATAAGGGAACCTAAACCACCCAAAAAGGGAATAAGGGTACTACTGGGCATCCTAGTAACCCCAACACCACTAGGTTAACCCTGAAGAATCCGCGGAACATTTTCCGAGATGTCCGATCCAAAAACCCCAACTGAGGGAAGAAATGCTGCCCTCTAAACTTCAGGAACTTGGTATTTTTTGGGGGGGGCCCTCGGCAGAATCCCATTCTCTCGATGCCAGCTTGGTAAAAGATCATCTATGAAGGCCCCCGCCCCCCGGCCCCCCCCCCCCCCCAAAAAAAAAAAAAAAAATGACGTCTACACCCCCCGTACCGTATACTGAAGTCTATACCCTGTACCCTAAGCCCAAAACGCCCTAAACCCGGCGAAACCCTAAACTCTAATTCAACCCTACAGCGCTGAAGACACCCTAAACCCTAAACCCTAAACCCTAAACCCTAAACCCTTTTCAAGCACTTTCAGGCCTCCCAGGCGTCATCGAGATACCCCGCTGCCTGCAACTCCAAGCCTGGTGGGGGAAAGCTTCCGGATGGCCTGAGGGTTTATGGGGTATGGGGTTTAGGGTTTAGGGTTTAGGGTTTGGGGTTTAGGGTTTAGGGTTTAGGGTTTGGGGTTTAGGGTTTAGGGTTTGGGGTTTAGGGTTTAGGGTAAAGGGTTTAGGGTTCAGGGTTTGGGGTTTAGGGTTTATGATTTACGGGTTATGAGCTTTAGGGTTTACGGATCAAGTGAGGACAAGCCACTTTTCTTGAGTAAAGAAGGCCTTTCGTGGGCATGCTTGGCACCTTCGTAGCTAGCGGGCGCTTGCCGAGAAGAGGTCTCCGCACCCTCCTTTGGCAGCGGGAGGTGCAAGATGCCAGATTCAAAAACCCATGAGAGATGCAAGGTGCAAGATTCATAGGGTCAAGGGCATAGGTTTGGGGTTTAGGGTTTAGGGTTTAAGGTTTAGGGTTTAGGGTTTAGGGTTTAGGGTTTAGGGCAACCCTAAACCCAAAAAGCTGAAACACCGAAGCTTACACTTGCCGTTGAACCCTCCGTCCCACACGCCCCAAAGTCCCTGAAACCCTAATTCAACCCTAAACACTAAAGCCTAGCAAGCATGAACCCTACACCCTAAACCCTAAACCCCAAACCCTGAACCCTGAACCCTAAACCCTAAACCCTAAACCCTAAACCCTAAACCCTAAACCCTAAACCCTAAACCCTAAACCCTAAACCCCCAACATCGCCTCACCAAAAGGCTGAGGCGTCGGCCAGAGCGCACGGCGACCTCTTCGAAGAGGGCGGAGGCCGCCTGGACGTTGAGCCGGCGCTCTAGAACCTGTGGAGAAGGTTTGTAGGGTTTGTAGGGTTTTAAGGGTTTAGGGTTGAGGGTTGAGGGTTGAGGGTGTGGGGTTTGTAGGGTTGGTAGGGTCTGTAGGGTTTGTAGGGTTTGTAGGGTTTGTGGGTTTGTAGGTTTTGTAGGGTTTGTAGGGTTTGAAGGGTTTGTGGGTTTAGGGTTTGTAGGATTTAGGGTTTGTAGGGTTTAGGGCTTGCAGGGTTTAGAGTTTAGGGTTTTGTAGGGGAAAGAATTTAAGGTTTGCAGGGTTTAGGGTTAGGGTTTAGGGGTTGTAGGGTATGGGTGGTTTGGGGGCCTCGGCCATGTCAAGTGCAGGAGTATATAGGGCAAAACAGTGGAAGAGCTACAAAATCCTTCAAGGAAAGGCTGCGGATGGTTTAGGGTTTAGGGTTTAGGGTTAGTTTAGGGTTGAGGGTTTAGGTTTAGGGTTCAGATTTAGGTTTGGAAGCGGCCTTAGGGTGACCGACAGGTTTTTGGGACTTGAGAGGGGATTCGGAGTTGGTTCGACTTATGCGTTTAAGGCTTCAGGGTTTAGGGTTTAGGGACCCTAAACCCTAAACCCTAAACCCTCAACCCTAAACCCCAAACCCTAAACAAGCTTTGGCAGGTGGACTCGAAGTAGAGGTTTCGGAGCTCACCGGCACAGCACGGAAGCTTTGTCGTTTAGGGTTTAGGGTTTAGGGTTTAGGGTTAGGGTTTGGAGTTTAGGGGTTTGGGGGTTTAGGGTTTAGGCTTTGTCTTCTTCCGGGGCCTCTCGATCTACGCCGCCGTCGCGGAGCGTCAGCAGCAGCTCCGCCGCGGGAACCTCGGCAAGATGTGATGAGATGACCCCTTTGGGCGAGAGAATAAGGGAGTCGGGTTGCGCAAACCCTAAACCCTAAACCCTAAACCCTAAACCCTAAACCCTAAACCCTAAACCCTAAACCCTAAACCCTAAACCCTAAACCCCTCAGGGCTCAGAGGCCCCCATATGGCGCAGCTGGCCTCCTTGATACAGGCCCGGTCTTGATGCGAATTCCCTTAAATGACATGGACTCTTGGCAGTTTAAGGATCCAGAAAGTGCGCCACTTCACACAAGCAGGGTTTAGGGTTTAGGGTTTAGGGTTTAGGGTTTAGGGTTTAGGGTTTAGGGTTTAGCTTCTTCGGCCCGTTTCCCTCGTTCCGAGCCAACCCTGAAACCGACGGAAGCAGATCTCCAATTCGAGTGAGAAAGCCGCCTGAACGCGATGCGACAATGTCTGCAACAACACAGCATCCAAGATCTGCATACCTTTCAAACTGCAAAGCGGACGAGCATTGAGGGGGGGGGGGGGGGGGGGGGTGGAGGCCCGGCAAAGTGGGCACGAAGATCATCTCAAGCATGGACATAACCCTAAACCCTAAACCCTAAACTTTACACCAACGAGAGATCTGGAGACAGCGACAGGCCATGGCCCAGTCTTCGGGTTCGTACGATTGGGGTCTACCGGGAGGTTCCGGACACTTAGAACCTCCTGGTCGGACTGGAGGTTTAGGGTTTAGGGTTTAGGGTTTAGGGTAGTTTAGGATTAGAAGTGTACATCTGAGCCCCCTGAGTCCTGTAAGTAGGTTCCAAGTAGACGTGTAATTGGGGTGAGAAGCGCCCATGAACCTCCTAGTAGGACTGGAGGTTTAGGGTTTAGGGTTTAGGGTTTAGGGTTTAGGGTTTAGGGTTTAGGGTTGAGGGTTTACTGTAGGGTTCAGACGGTTTGGGGCAGCCGGGGATGGCAAGGAGTCAGAGCGAACAAGGCTTTAGTACCCGGTTTTTCGACACAACTTTACTTGGGTGTTGATGCCGGGAAAGGAAACCTCATGGCAAAAACATGCAACATTCGGGCACAACAAGTCATAGCAGCTGATAAACTCGGTCTTTGCCCTTGCCCGTGAGACCAGTGAGTGAGGAACGAGATGAACCCCAAAAGGAGCATGGTCTCTAATTATACCCGAGCAGGGATGACCGTAGCACAGTCCATTTGGTCCCTAAGGTAAGGAAGACTTCTGGTGCTTGCTAGGGGGGGGGGGGGGGGGGGGGGTTCCCCCTAAACCCTAAACTTCCCTGAACCCTAAACCCTAAACCCTAAACCCTAAACCCTAAACAGTCCAAGCAAAGTGGCATGCTCCCCGGCTGTACTCAATGCCCTGACTGCCGCCTGGCATGGAGTGCCAGAGAGCATTTGCACAAAACCCTAAACCCTAAACCCTAAACCCTAAACCCTAAACCCTAAACCCTAAACCCTAAACCCTAAACCCTAAACCCTAAACCCTAAACCCTAAACCCTAAACCCTAAACCTAAGCCCTAAACCCTAAACCCTCTAAAACCCCCAAACCCTGGAGATTCGGATACAATCTCGTAGCATGGATACTGATCTTGGCCGCTGAATAGGCCATGCACCTTCCAGCCTGCCCTCATCTGCTTGCTCATTCCGACCCCTGTACTACTTGCAGCTAATGGTTTAGGGTTTTGGGTTTAGGGTTTAGGGTTTAAGAAGGTGCTGTATGACCGCCCTCATGTAGTGGACAAGAGCAACTGAGCCGCAAAGGAGCAAGGAGGATGCTAAACAAAGAAGCCGCAGACATGGATGAGACATGACAAGGAGGGGCTGCGTGAACACGTGGGTTTAGGGGGCCTTAATAGTTACAGGAGCAGCGGAATGAACCCAACCTCTTGGCTCCTACACCCTTTACCCTACACCAACCCTGTGGACCTTAAACCCTAAACCGTAAACCCGAAACCCTAAACCCTAAACCCTACAGTAAACCCTAGCCCTAAACCCTAAACCCTAAACCCTACTGTAAACCCTAACCCTAAACCCAAAACCCTAAACCCTGAACCCTAAACCCTACCCTAAACGCAAGTCCAGAGAACGGAGCTCCCGGGGCCTGGATCGAGGCTGCCGCGGAGCCTCGCGGATTTTCCGCAATGCGCTGCGCTGCACTCAGGGCCTGGGAGGTTTAGGGTTTAGGGTTTAGGGTTTAGGGTTTAGGGTTTAGGGTTTAGGGTTTAGGGTTTAGGGTTTAGGGTTTAGGGTTTAGGGTTTAGGGTTTAGGGTTTAGGGTTTAGGGTTCACCCAATTCCTATGGTTCAGGGTTTAAGGGATCTAGTCACCTACTTCACAGGGTTTATAAGGTTTGGGGCCAGTCTTGACCTTAGCCCTGTGGCTTTGTCAGCGTTCTCATGGAAAGGATATATGCGGCGAAAGTGACCCTAAAATGGGTCGATGTTCGCGTCCCTAAGCGGGGGGTCCAGTCGCTATGGCACAGCCAAAACCCTAAACCCCTAAACCCCTAAACCCTCAAACCCTAAAAACCCTAAACTGGGTATATAGAGTCCGGTTTATATTTCTTGTACCCCTAAACGGACACCCTGTACACACACTCACCAATATTAAAAAGGAACCTTATATACACTCACCAATATTAAAAACAGGAATATAAACCCTGTTTAAAAAAGGACACCCAGTACATACACTCACCAAAAACAGTACTGCAAACCCTGCTTCAATGTAACCCAAGGTTCCCTAATACTCCCCACTACTCCCTAAGACTTCCCAAAGATTCCTTCAGGTGCCCTAGGTACCTACCTCCCTTGAACCCTAAACCCTAACCCTAAACCCTAAACCCTAAACCCCCCTTGAGAACTCTAAATAATCAGGTCCGGACCATGGCTGCCGGCCAACCTCGCGGAGTGGCCGGGAAGTAGCTTGGCTTTTTGGGGGGCTTTGGGGTAGGGTTCAGGGTTTAGGGTTTAGGGTTCAGGGTTTAGGGTTCAGGGTTTAGAGTTTAGGGTTTAGGGTTTAGAGTTTAGGGTTTAGGGTTTAGGGTTTTGGGGTTTTAGGGGGTTTAGGGTTTTGGGGTTTTAGGGGGGGTTGCAGGGCTTTGGGGGATTAGGGGTTGGGGGGTTGAGGAGAGGGTTTAGGGTTGGGGACTGTAGAGGGTTAGGAGTTTGGGGGTTCTAGACCCCAACCCTAAACCCTATAAACCCTATAAACCCTATAAACCCTATAAACCCTATAAACCCTATAAACCCCATAAACCCTATAAACCCTATAAACCCTATAAACCCTATAAACCCTATAAGCCCTAAACCTAAACCCAAACCCCAAGAGTAACCTAGGAATAAAGGGGTGGCTCAAAGGGTCTTACTTTGGCTAAAAGGGCCTTACAAGGGGACTTAAAACCCTAAACCCTAAACCCTAAACCCTGGGGCTTTGCAAGGTTCACGAGAGGCATTCGCGGAGTCTCCGGGCTGTGCAAGGCACCTGCTTCTTTGGGGTTCAAGGTTTGGGGTTTGGGGTTTAGGGTTTAGGGCTTAGGGCTCTCGCAACATCTGAGTCTGAAGACGCTTGGTCAAGTACATATTAGGCGTTTATGTGGCATCGTGTCCCTGCAAGAGTTGAAAAATCATAACCTGCATAACTCGAGCGTCGATTGCCAGTGCCCCCTCTACAAAATCCTGAATGCGATGGGATTTAGACGCGCCCTGCTCAGCTCGTCTTTTACAAAGGAAGTAACCTGCATCCTAACTTGCCGCTTGTTTGCGGGGTTTAGGAACCCTAAACCCTAAACCCTAAACCCTAAACCCCAAACCCTCCGAGGAGGCCTTCCCAGGACTCCAGGCAAACGGCCCGGCGCCGGAGAACCTTATCTGTTTCAGTTGGCCGGCCAAAAGAACACAAGCATATGAATTAATGGCTCTGTACGGTTTAGGGTTTAGGGTTTAGGGTTTAGGGTTTAGGGTAGGGGGTTTCCGAAATAAGGGATATCCAAGTATTTTAAGGGGATCCTACTATTTGGGAATCTATATTGGGTGGGGGGGGGGGGGGGGGGGGGGTGGCCATTTTAGTAAACCCGCATATGACTGCGAGGTATCTCTCACTATGGTATTCCGCTGTTGGTTTTGGCATTCTTTTGTCTAGCGCGCAAGCTTAAAAATCCCAGCTGTTGAGGAACTTAAATAAAGATAGTACCAGAAGACCTCTGTATAGTAAAAAAAGACCACATGATGTTAAGTTATAACTTCGGTTCCGTAACCGCACCCCAGAAAACCGTGAGTAGCAGCCGTAAGTTTCATCTGCTCGAAGCTCCTCAAGTTTTGGCTTCTGTCGGGTATTTGGGGGTGAAGGTTTGGGGTTGAGGGCTTAGAATTTAGGGAGTTTAGGTTTTAGGAGTTTAGGGTTTCGGGAGTTCAGGGTTTAGGGTTTGGGGTTTAGGGCCTACCGAAGTTTGGGCGTGGAGGCCATTGGGAATGGGATAAGCCCTAGAGGGCAAGTGGTCCAGATACCTTCGATCGGGATTCTAGTAGTACCGGGGTTAGAGCTTAGGGCTAGGGTAATTAGGGCTTAGGGCTTGGGGCTTTGGGCTTTGGGCTTAGGGCATAGGGCTGAGGGCTTAAGGCTTAGGGCTTAGGGTGTTTTTTAACCGCAATCGCCTGCGCTCAGCAAGAGCGCTGTCCGGTCTGTTTGGTGAAACAACCACAAAAGACACCCCGGGCCACGTCAAGGGCGTCACCACCACCACGCTCCACATCCACCAGCCAGGAGGTCGAAGCAGACACCGAGGAGGACATAGTTGAAGTAGACGCCGAGGAGCACGTATCAAGGACTCTTGGGAAGGACCCCTAACACTGTACTCCTAATCTACATGTCTAATATCATAGCAATATTGGCCTTTTATTGCATGAATATCTGCTGGACTGTGGTCTGGACTTCTCCGGGCCCCCAAACACATGGATGCAGGTAGACCAACGAATCAAGCTCCATACCGCAAGCTGGATTCCAGACCCCGAAGCTCACGAACTTTTCCTTCGAACGCAGCAGCTACTTGCTTTTCACTTCTTCTTGTCTTGTAGGTTTGCTTTGTCTTTTTGTTTTGTCGCTCATGTCTTTCTTGCTCTTGTTGGCAGGCTTCTCCTCTGCCTCTCTCTTCTTTCGCTTCTTGTATCCCTTGGTGTCGAGATCGGGCGGGCGGAAGAATGCTGGCACCTCCATATGTCCCAGCCTCTACCTCTGCGGCGATGTCCTTCACCGCGGGCGTTAACGATGCTCGGGTTGCTTCTACTGTAGCTTTGCCCGCAGCTGAGGCCTGGTTTTTCAGTCCGGATGGCATGCCAAAAAAAGGGGTACACACCAATTAGCCTTGTATTTTGAAGGCTAATTGGTGTGTACCCTTGTTTTCCCGCTTTGGCCCCCCAAGGCGCCAAGCTTGGATTCAGTCATCCACCCCACCTCACCTGAAAAGGGGCACGCCAGCTCCACTCCGGCACCACCGTGAGACCACCGTGAGGAAACACGAAACGGGTCTTTAAAGGCAAACGTTAATCGCGTTCACCCCAGATGCCTTTCTCCTTCCGGAACCTGGAATGGCCGCGCCAGCACCATTCACTGCAGAAATTTATCTAAAACAAGAACTAGACAGCAAATGCTTTTGGATGGGGGGCGATTGGCTGCCGTTTCTGGGAGGATAATATCTGATCAGCATGAGTGACGCTCCTGAGCGCAAGACGTGACTCACAGCGTGAACGTTCACAAGCAGGTGTCAAGTTGCGCATTAAAGCCAACGTGGGCTTGACCTCAAGACTTCCTGTTTAGGGACATTTTAGGGGTACCTTGTCAGGGGTTCGCCCCAGTGCCTTAGAACGTAGAGAACGTTGTAGTCCCAGATTCACCACCAAGCTGCCCACTCTCTCCCCCACCCAACCAGCTGGACCTGGCCGCTCCACTCGTGGTCTGCCGCCGCCACGATACGATGGAGGTCACTCTCTGCACGCTCCACCTCATCATCAAACCCCACCATCTCCCCACTTCCCATCACGGGGTCCACCACGTCCTGCCCGTTGCCACTCGTAGTCTCCATCGCCAGAGGGTGCGCCCGAAGTCGTTGCCACACCCCCGCTGGGCACAGAGGATCTCCGCGGTGACCTAGACCTGACGGGCGCCGTGATCTGTCCCTCCCTGCGCGCGATGCGGGCCAGGCGGTCATTGCGGACCACAATATCTGGAATCAACGCCCTGACCCAACCTCCTTTGCCACAACACCCCCAAGTTTCCCAGAATTTGCAAAATCATCCAAGCTTCAGGTTGTGCTGGTACCAGCTTCTCCCAGGAAGCCGGGTCGAAACCGCGGGCTTCCCAGTAGGTCTGGGCATCGCCAGAAGGGTCGACAGAAAGGATCCCGCCACCGGTGCGGCGCAGACGGTCCTCCCAGCGCTTGCCGCAGTCCGCAGTGCTACTTGGACCATGCCACGACAAGTTAAGAACCAGTGAGTGCTCCTCCAGGCCCCCGAAGAGGTCCCTGGCGGCCCCCTTTTTCGCAGCGCCGCAAGCAAGGAGCACGTTGGCTCCTTGCTGCGTGGGCCGCCAGACCAATCCACCGAGCACATCCCCGCTATCCCCATCAAAAGTGATGGAGATGCGGGATGTGTCGAAATCGCCGCTCAAGCGCTCTCTGGGATTTCCACCCCACGACGCCCCAAAACCTCCTCCTCAACACGTCGTAGGATCCGCAGCAGGAAGAGCGCACCCTCTGTTTCCTCCTCCACCCAACGTCGAACACCGCAGCGAAGTTCAGGAGCCACCCCCTCCACCCTATGTCGTGCAATGCGCTCACGCATCTCGTCCAGCACCACGTCGACCTCCCCTTGTGCGTCCTCCAGTTGTCGAGCCTCATTGATCCTCCTCATGACAATCAGCAGTGGTCAGGCATTCGTGGCACACCAAGAGCCGCCTCCTCTTTGATCTTGAGGTGTCGGCGTACGGTGGCAGCCTTTCCACCCTCCCGTCTTGTCATGTCAGCACACGCGTTGAAGGTCGGATTGATCGGAACTCGATCGCAAGGAACTACAACGTGCCGTCTTGAACCGACGGGTGACGACTTCCCCTTCTCATCCTCGCACTTGGCGAACCCTTCCCAAGACTTGCGCCGCCTCCACAGCCTGTTGAACTTCTTGAGGTATGCAGAAGCGACCTCTTCGGAGAAGGGGGGAATGTCCTTGGTCAGAGCCTTCTTGCGTGCCACCATGGCGATCATGCACAAAGGACTCCGGGACCTCAGGCAAACCCCTCTTGACACCTTGAAGGAGCGCCCAAAAGACGTTGGAGCTCCGACAAGAGGTGCCACGAGAAGCAAGCAGGCTTCGCATGCGTTGGCGGATCCCTCCCTTCCATGGGAGTACATCTTGGGATCCAGCACGGCCTTTCCACCATCTCTGGATTGCCGACGGAGCATCAGGCAGTTCCATCCTCAGGAACTTCGCCATGAGCGCCGCCGTCAGCCCTTTGGCCGCTTTGCACGCCTGAGCTGGCGTCTCAGCCATCGAGAAGATGGAGAGGAATTCAGAATAGGAGGAGAGCGCCTTCGCATTTCCCATGTCGCGACAATACAAATTGTCGGCATCGGAAAGGACCGGATAGGACGTCATGTACGTTCCTGATGAAGCAGAAGGCAAAATGGGCTTTCCACAACCCTTCGCTCCCCTCCCAGCCGGTTGTCCAGTCGTCCTGCAAAGCGAGAGCTGCTACTCCGAAGAGCTCCCGCACACTGGGGACTTCTGGAGCTGTGAGACCGTTCTCACGCCGGTTTCCTTTGAACGTCCGAAGACGGGCTCCTCCAAGTGAAAGACACAAAGAAGCATGTCCATCGTAGTCATGCCGGTCTCAAACAGGTTTAGGGTTTGGGGTTTAGGGTTTAGGGTTTAGGTTTATTTAGGGACCCCAGTCTTGACGTTCATATTTGGTCCCACTGCCCGCGCGGCTAGGGACCCCGGCCGTGTCAGCAAGACCAGGAAAGTCGGTGGAGCTTTCGCTGCTTTCGCTGCTTTCGCTGCCCTACAAGCTTTCAGCAGTGCAGGGATGGACTGTGCAGGGCGCCAGGGTTTAGGGTTTAGGGTTTAGGGTTTAGGGTTTAGGGTTTAGGGTTTAGGGTTAGCACGGCACAGCCATTTCGACAACATGAGCCCAAGTCGTTCCGGAGCCTCTGCACCTGGACCACGCATGAAACCACAAGTGAAAGCCCGCCGAAGCCTGATCCCAGGCTAGGAAGGTTCAGGGTAGGGATGGGGTTTAGGGTCTAGGGTTTAGGGTTTAGGGTCTAGGGCCTAGGGTTTAGGGTTCAGGGTTTAGGGCTTAGGGTTTAGGGTGCCTGAACATGATCCTCTTGAACCCAAACAAGGGAGGATGTAATGTCTCCCAAGGCCCGACCCGGCAGGGTGCCTTTTGGGCTTCTCCCGACTCTGGTGCTTGGGAGCTGGTGGAGTTCTGACCATCAGCTTGATCCTGCCGGAAGCCATGTTCGGCGAGGGAGGTCGTGAGGGTTTAGGGTTTAGGGTTTAGGGTATAGGGTTTAGGGCTTAGGGCTTATAGGGTTTAGGGTTTAGGGTTTAGGGTTTAGGGTTTAGGGTTTAGGGTTTAGGGTTTAGGGTTTAGGGTTTAGGGTTTAGGGTTTAGGGTTTAGGGTTTAGGGTTTAGGGTTTAGAGGTGGGAGCTGTGACGAGCAGAAACTACGAAGCACACTTTTGGATCTCTAGGCGTTAAGGGGGTCAAGGCCTGCGGAGTAAGAAAAGTCAGAAACAAAGCCTCCCTATTTAGGGGGTTTGGTACTGGGCTCTACAACAAAGGATACTAAGACAAGGAGGTGTGACCTGGCTGTACACGATACACTCCTAACCAGGTGATATTTCACAAGGGTTTAGGGTTTAGGGTTCAGGGTTTAGGGCTTGAAGAGGAAGGCTGCTGGGACCGTAGCTCCCGCTCCCAACATCAGAACTCATGTTTTGGTATCACTGCACCCTCACCCCAGCCCAGGACTTGGACCCTAATTTACGGGCCTTAATGACTACAACATATATATATATATACACATATTTTATTTTTTTTTGGGGGGGGTACGAGTCCGTGAGGGAATACGACTTAGTTATTAAGTGATTATTCCGACCCCTGTATTACATAATACGCAGCCTTATCGGGTTCATGGGACTTCAAAGAAGACGGCGCGTCTTGGGGGGGGGGGGGGAGCTTCTTGCTCGGAGTTCCAAAGCCGTGAAGGGCTTGCTAACAGCATCCATGATAGCTAGCCCTTTCGGCTTTCTTTGCCGCAGTTGGTAGCAGTGGTAGTCTCAGTTTAGGGTTCAGGGCTTCGGGGTTTGGGGTCCAGGGAGGGTTTAGGGTTTAGGGTTTAGGGGGTTGACAGGTTTCATAGGGCTATCGGGCTTATAGGCTTTATGATATCGGTGCCTTTGGGGCTTCATCCGACCCGGGAGCCGAGTTCTCATTGCCATCGGCTTCGTCCTGCTGGAAGATGTCGGGCTTAGGGTTTCACCCTAAACCCTAAACCCTAAAACCCTAAACCGTAAAGCCTAAACCCCAAAACCCGAAACCATAAACCCTAAACCCTAAACCCTAAACCCTAAACCCTAAACCCTAAACCCTAAACCCTAAACCTTGGGTTGCTGCGTATTCCCAAAGTTGGAGGGGGGGGGAAAAGTTGCTGGGTCTCTCTCGGGTCTCTCCCTCTCTCACTTTTGGAGCTGATGACCCCGGATAAGATGCCCAGGGTCTAGGCTCTAGGGTTTAGGGTTAGGGTTTAGGGTTTAGGGTTTAGGGTTTAGGGTTTAGGGTTTAGGGTTTAGGGTTTAGGGTTTAGGGTTTAGGGTTTAGGGTTTAGGGTTTAGGGTTTAGGGTTTAGGGTTTAGGGTTTAGGGTTTAGGCGTTAGGGTTTAGGGTTTAGGGTTTAGGGTTTAGGGTTTAGGGTTTAGGGTTTAGGGTTTAGGGTTTAGGGTTTAGGGTTTAGGGTTTAGGGTTTAGGGTTTAGGGTTTAGGGTTTAGGGTTTAGGGTTTAGGGTTGGGGCCTCCGCAGTTCGTACTTGGGCTTTGTCCATGTAGCAGCGATGCTTCCACCAAGGGTCCATGTACCTAAATAGGGAAGACTTGGGCCCTTAAACCTCCCATAACAGGGCATTTGGGGCCCCAGGTATATAGGAATGAGGTAACCCTAAACCCTAAGCCCTAAACCCTAAACCCTAAACCCTAAACCCTTTTGGGCTTCCATTTCAAGGCCCCCGGCACCCAAAGCCCAGATCCCGACATCCCCCTAAAACTCCAGAAACTGAAGCCCAGGAGGACCCAAACCCTAAACCCTAAACCCTAAACCCTAAACCCTAAACCCTAAACCCTAAACCCTAAACCCCGGGAGGAGCCAAAGTCCAAACCCGATCAGTCCTTGAAGACAACCGTAAACGGCTGGAGTTTTTCGCAGATTTTTCTGTTTTGAGCAGGGAGCCCCCCCCCCCCCCCCCAAAAGAAAAAAAAAAAAGAAGAGATAATGGGCCTCCACCGTAACCCCAAGCCTCTATAGAGGACAACGCACTGCCCCCTCACCTCTTTCGCCTCTGCCGAGTCGGAGTCGGGGGGCTTGGCTTCCCTGGCCCACGAAGCATGTGATGAGCGAACGTGGGGTTAGGATAAGGCACATACATACATGGATACATACATACGTACGTACATACATACATACGTATATATATATATATATATATACACACCCTAAACACTAAACCCTACATCCCTAAACCCGAAACCCTAAACCCTAAACCCTAATTTTCTGCTGGCAAACTGGACGAAGAAGCCAAGGAAGCCAAGCTCGTATACAAGCAGTTGCATCTTGGGGATTCCCAGGCCGGTTCTTGCCCGGTTTAGGGTTTAGGGTTTAGGGAACATGCGAGGCTTTTGATTCGGGGCTTTTGGAGGGGAGTTGGGGGGGGGGGGGGGGGGGGAGTTGGGGGGGGAGATTAGGGTTTAGGGATTTAGGTTTGGGGGTTTAGGGACTCAGAGACTTCGGGCTTGGGAGATGGACAACTTACAAGGTCCAAGGGTTGGTTTGAAGGGTTCAGGGTTTAGGGTTCAGGGTTCAGGGTTCAGGGTTTAGGGTTTAGGGTTTAGGGGTAGCTAGAAGCAAGGCAAGCTGCCCCCCGCCCCCTGGTGCTTCTTCAGCTAGGCTGCCCAGTAACCTAGGCTTAACAAGGGTACCCCATTTTTTGCTTAGAGGGGTTTATAAGGGAACCTAGGGTTTAGGGTTTAGGGTTTAGGGTTTAGGGTTTAGGGTTTAGGGTTAAACCCCCCAAAAAGGGAATAAGGGTACTACTGGGCATCCTAGTCAGGCTTTTCCCATGCTCTTCCGACGCTCGCAGCCGCGCAATCACCCTACCTTCTGGCAAAGAAGTGCGAAAGCCGAAACCTTCAACGCTTGCGCAACCATGAGAACCTGCCCCTGAAAAAAGAGCGGGGGCGACCGCCGAAGAACCACCGAGCATTCTGACCCCGGACATTGTCAAACCTAACTTGAACTCCACATCTCTCTCCCCTGCCTTGGTATCAGAATCGCGAGCTGCCACACGGAAAACCCTCAAACTGACCCTGAATCCCACCGGGCCCTAAACCCTGAACCCTAAACCCCAAATCCTAAACCCTAAACCCTCAAGCCCCCTGTAACTTGACATTATTCCAAAAAATCCAAAACAGAAACTCCTCGAAACTCCCCGAAACTTCCCCGGACCTGAACCCTTCATAATTTCAATAAGTCCCAAACTGCAACTCGACCCCGGAATCCGTGGAGCAGCAGGGGATTGGCCTCATCAGCTGCGCAATGGCGGGGCCGTAGCCTGTCTTCGCCTGGTGGAAGCTACAGGTTAGGGTTTAGGGTTTAGGGTTTAGGGTTTAGGGTTTAGGGTTTAGGGTTTAGGGTTTAGGGTTTAGGGCTGAAAAGGGTGTTAGGGTGTTAGGGCTAAATGTTTTGGGGCTCCCTAAATCCTAAACTCTAAGCCCTTACACCCTAAACCCTGAGCCCTAAACAGATTGCGGCTCTGACCCCTCATCCGACAACCCCCGTAGAACAGAAAAAACACTTGGAGGTTCATGGTACTCATTAACCAGCTACAACTGTACTTATAACCCACTTATCAGCACCTTAAGTGCCCTAGTATGGTTATAGGTACGGTTAGAACTGGTTCATAAGTACCATGAACCTGCAAGGAGGGTCACTTGGTGGCAAGGCAAATGCCTTGTTGGATGTTTTGAGGGGATAAGGGGCTTGTGGTTCAGGGGTTTAGGGTTGAGGGTTTAGAGTTTGGGTTTTAGGGTTTTGTGGGCTTTCAGGGGTCCTGAAGGACTTCGCACCAGTGCCGGAGGCCAGCAGGGGCTTTATTCAGGAAACATCGGGAGGGTCTTGTGGCGAGAGTCGCCACACCAACAGTGAGAAGTCCCTTGAAGGGATATGGGCCTTAAAAACTCCACAGCCAAGCCTGAAACTGAGCCCCTTTTTGATCGAACCACGCGGAACAACCCTAAACCCTAAACCCTAAACCCTAAACCCTAAACCCTAAACCCTAAACCCTAAACCTGAGCCCTGATAAACTCTGAAAGCCCTAAGATCTCCACAAGCCCTCCGAGATCTGTAAATCCTTTGTCTAGGACGGCTCTCAAATTAACACCTTCTGACAAACTATGCCTGCATAAAGACGACCCCGAAGGCCTGCCTAGTAAATGATAAACCCTATTAAGCCCTAAACCTTAAACTCTAAGCCCTAAACCCTAAACCCTAAGCCCTAAGCCCTAAGCCCTAAACCCCAAACCCTAAACCCCCTATCCCAAAGGCCCAGTTTCTATTCGACAGTGTTTCGGGGTCTCCTGGCCCGGCTGCTGCAGGCGCTTGAGCAGGAGCCTCGAGGGAAATGGGTTAGGGTTTGGGGTTTGGGGTTTAGGGTTTAGGGTTTAGGGCTTGGGGTTTAGGGTTTAGGATCTAGGGCTTAGGGTCTAGGGTTTGTGGTTTGGGGTTTAGGGCGCCCATGTCAAGACCTTGAGGCCTACATGGACCCTGAAAGGTTTATGGTCCATGTACCGAAATCATGATCCTGGTAGCATAGGGGTACATGATGCCTGTCTTCGGATTCATGTAGGGTTTAGGGTTTAGGGTTTAGGGTTTAGGGTTTAGGGTGTAGGGTTTAGGGTTTAGGGTTTAGGGTATACCCTCGCACTAAATCCTCAACCCATAGGGGGATGATCCCAATCTAAGGATGCAGTCGGCTCCCAAGGCAGGGCTTCGGGATGTGGTGGGCTGAGGGCTAGGAGTGTCGCGTGTAGGGCGGCGGCAAATCTAAGGGCACCTTGGATGCTGCGTTTTAGGGTTATAGGGTTCAGGGTTTAGGGTTTAGCGTTTGGGGTTTTCTATACTCCCCTTAGACTTCAAGTAGTGCCAGCCAATTTCGGTGCAGGAGGCTTCTGCTCCCAACAGCACCAAGTAAGAAATAGAGTGTGAAACCCAGGAACCAATCCAAAGCCAAACAAAACACAACGCAAATTTCGCGTTCTCCAAGATGCCGGGTCGTGCTTAACAGCCTGCCACCACCCCCAATTACCCAGGGCATCCCTACTCCCCTTAGAAACTTAATAATAAACAATAGTTTTTTAATATCCTCTTGGGTTTTATATAATTTCCATGGGGGATATAGTTTTCCTGAATCCCGAGAACCCTACACCCTGAACCTTCACGGCCTAAACCCTAAACCCTATAAACCCTAAACCCTAAACCTTAAACCCTAAACCCCTAAACCCTCAACCCTAAACCCCATAAGCCCTAAAGCCAGGGTCCTTTATCCAAACAAGTTCGCTGCCGTGCCCGACCTCTTCTTGGCTGCGGGAAGAGCGGACTTAGCCTCCCACAGCCAAGGCCGGAGGGTCCACGGATGGGGCTAAGCGGTTTCGGGGGTTTAGGGTTTAGGGTTTAGGGTTTAGGGTTTAGGGTTTAGGGTTTAGGGCCTTCATGGAAGTAGCAGCATAGGGTCTATTATGAATCCCAATTCTTAAGGGGCACGCTGTAGTTATGTAACATTGATAATATTGATCTCCTAGACCCAGGAGTAACATAGGAACAAAAAGCGGGCCCTTTTTGGTTTCAAGGGGATACCCTAAACCCTAAACCCTAAACCCTAAACCCTAAACCCTAAACCCTAAAGATCATAAGGGAACCACAACCCTAAAAAAGGAAATAAGGGCCTACTCCGGGTCCTAGTCTCTGTTGACGTCGGCTGCCGAGCCAGGGCCCGACACCCTCTCGAGCCCTAAACCCTAAACCCTAAACCCTAAACCCTAAACCCTAAACCCTAAACCCTAAACCCTAAACCCTAAACCCTAAACCCTAACCCTAAACCCTAAACCCTAAACCCTAAACCCTAAACCCTCTCAAGCTTGCCTGCTCAGGGCGCTCCGCGCTGTACTCGCTGCGGATGCGGGCTGCCTCCTCCAACTCCTGATCGAAAGGCTCGGTTTCGGGTTTAGGGTTTAGGGTTTAGGGTTTAGGGTTTAGGGTTTAGGGTGGTTTAGGGTTTAGGCTTTAGGGGTCCCTACATGGCTCCCCCGTTGCCTACGATCATCTTGTTAGTTGGGGGGGGAAGGCATAACCTACTGGCTTTACAGTTGCTTTGGGTTGCAGGGAGCTGCCAGAGCCTCTGATATAATGGCAGCCGGGAGCAGCCTCCACAGGATCCTAAACAAAGACCCTCTTTGGGTTTAAGGAGCTAGGGTTTACGTACTACAGGGGCCTAAAGAATTAGAATAGGGTTTAGGGGGGATATTCTAGTATAATGCTCTAGGGGCCGTAAGGGAATACGAATGGTAATGATTCCGACCCCTATATTTAGGGTTTTGGGTCACTGAGAAATTCCGCGCCTCCTTGCTCACAGTGCCGTAGGAGACAGCCCCTTTGTACTTGGTATTCACCTGGTCTCTGTCTTCGGGCAAGAATACTCTTAGAGGACGCAGAGGTGCTGTGCCATGAGGATACCATCACTCAACTGCGTTGCTTGCCGTAGAACTGGAACCAAAGCTCTAAACCCAAGCCCTACACCCCAAACCATCTGTAGAAATTGAGAAGCCGAGCAAAATGCCACACGGCCGTTCACATGCGACTACGACCCCGATGCCTGAGCCATCAGTGCAGCCTAAACTCCCATCTTGACAAGCTTTAAGCTCCAAACCAACCAGAAGTGGACTCACTGTGCCCTTTTGGAGACAGGAGTTCGCACCGACTCGCACCCCAAAACCCTCAGCTATATACACCTTACCCCACCCCCCACCCCCCACCCTGGTGTGCTTGCGTGCGTGTGTGCGTGCGTGCGCGTGCGCGCGATGGCGCCTTGAAGCCGGCTCTCGAGGCCCCGCTGGCCCCACACCGAACCTGCCACTAGAGGGTTTAGGATTTAGGTCCTTTTTGGGGCTTAGGGATTCTTAGGGTTTTAGGGTTGCTACTTGTGGTTATTGAGGGTTTTAGGGTTTTGGGCTTCGGGCTCTACACGGCTCTATTCTGCCGCGGAGACGTTCATAGTGTCTGCTTATAGCATTTAGGGCTTAGAGCGCTTGACAAAAAAAGTCACGCGCTCGATTGGGTCCAGTACGAAACCGCCGTGCCGTGGTACTGAAGCTTCAGAAGTCGCCAAGGCACAGAAGTGTTTAGGGTTAGCCACCTTTCCAGACCAGCAAGCAGCAAGAGACCTGGTGAGCTGTCTAGCTGCATGGCTACTGACAAGATGATTCTCACTGTGCCACATAGACCCTACGCATTTCTCAACCCAAAACCCCCCTAAACCCTAAAACCCTAAAACCCTCAAACCCTAAAACCCTCAAACCCTAAATCCCTAAAACCCTAAAACCCTACAACCCTAAAACCCTAAAACCCTAAAACCCTAAAACCCTACATCCCTAAAACCCTAAATCCCTAAAACCCTAAAGCCCTAAAACCCTAAAACCCTAAAACCCTAAAACCCCAAAAACCCTAAAACCCAAAAACCCTAAAGCCCTAAAGCCCTAAACCCCAAACCCCCAAACCCCAAACCCCAAGAGCCGAAAAAGTGGGCTTGCATTCGTCATCGTGCATGCCTTCTCTTAGCTTTGGAGTAGACCCTGGAAGAAAAGTATAAACTTTTTAGGCCATAAGTAGCAATGATAGGAACCCAGAACCAAAAGAGTATTAAAGTATAGTACTCCAAAGCCCAGTTCTTCATGCATCCTTATCAACTTTTCAGAGCAGACAATATGCCGTCATCGTGCATCGTTATCAAATTGTTAGAGCAAACAATGCTCAATTTACTTAAACCTCATATGGTTCAAAAAAACACAATTTCACTTAAACCACCTTAAACCTCCTTGCTTGCCCGAGGCATCAACACGCAAGCTCCTTCAGAAATCCTAGTTGCGCCCTAAGGTTTAGGGTTTCGGGTTGTCTTTCTCTCTCTTTCTCTCTTTCTCTCTTTTTCTCTCATTTTCTCTCTTTTTCTCTCATTGTTCTCTCTTTTTCTCTCTTTTTCTCTCTTTTTCTCTCTTGTTCTCTCTTGTTCTCTCTTTATCTCTCTTTTTCTCTCTGTTTCTCTTTTTTTCTCTCTTTTTCTCTATCTTTTTCTCTCTTTCTCTCTCTTTCTCTCTCTTTCTCTCTCTTTCTCTCTCTTTCTCTCTTTCTCTCTTTCTCTCTGTCTCGAAGATTTCTTCATTCTTATGTGATGTATATTCATTCACATACGCAGAAATTCCGAAAATAGAAACTAAACATATTTCTTTAAGGTTTCACGAAGATCGAATGTAATCGCAAAACCTCGAGATCTCAGAATATTTATTCCATTCCTGAATTGAAGCGGATATGAATGATTGACCACATAATGAGGCAGAAACTGTCGGCATGGATATTCATGGAGTTCCGAATCAATCAAGTAAATCCTGAGATTTTACGATCATCATTCGATATTCAGAAAACCTCAGAGAAAGAGAGTCTTTTTCGATTGATCGAAATGTCCAATGAAATGTCGCTTATCTGATCTCTCTTCATCTTTATCTCTTCTCTCCTCTCTCTTCTCTCTTCTCTCAGGGGGGAAACTGAAACACACCATTAACAAAAAACAACTCAGAAAAAGTCGGTGACAGTTTTTCTCAAAAACCGCCCCCCGCACACGAAGCAAGCTCAATAAACCCTAAACCCTAAACCCCTAAACCCCTAAACCCCTAAACCCCGAAACCCTGAACCCCTAAACCCTACACCCTAAACCCTAGACCCTAAACCCCTAAACCCCTAAACCCCAAACCCTAAACCCTAAACCCTAAACCCCAAACCCCTAAACCCTAAGTTGAAAAGGAGGTGGCACCTTGCAGGCGCGGCCATAGGCGAGGGCCAGATGCCTCGAGGGTACATGCAACCTACATCTCTTACCTCTAGGGTTTAGGGTTAGGGTTTGGGGTTTAGGGTTTAGGGTTTGGGGTTTAGGGTTTGGGATTTAGGGTTTAGGGTGGTTTAGGGTGGTTTGGCGTGGTTTAGGGTGGTTTAGGGCGGTTTAGGGTTGAGGGTGTAGAGGTTTAGGGTTTAGGGTTTTCGGTATATAGGGCTGCTGACACGAGACTACGGGGGCCTATGTTTGTCAGAAGGGGGCCCACATGGGCCCAATATACTTCCAGGGACCACAGACTTAGTCTTTGTCTTAGTCTTATATAACCTAAAACCCTAAACCCTAAACCCTAAACCCTATGATCAGTTAATCGCCCCTCAAAATTCAGAGAAGTCCCTCATGACGCCGTGGCCTCGTGCAGGGTGGTGAGAGATGCCAAATGGATGCTTCAGTCCCCCCAAACCCTAAACCCCAAACCCTAAACCCGAAACCCTAAACCCGAAACCCTAAACCCGAAACCCTAAACCCTAAACCCTAAACCCTAAACCCGAAACCCTAAACCCTAAACCCGAAACCCTAAACTTTTGAGAGCAGGGCATCAGGAGCTATGGACTGGAGGCTTCCTCCGCCTGAACCCGAATGTTGAGACCTCCACAGCAATTCTACTCAAACGTCGCGAATCACAAAGGGCTTCTATAGGGTAAGGTTTAGGGTTTAGGGTTTAGGGTTTAGGGTTTAGGGTTTAGGGTTTAGGGTTTAGGGTTTAGGGTTTAGGGTTTAGGGTTTAGGGTTTAGGGTTTAGGGTTTAGGGTTTAGGGTTTAGGGTGTAGGGGTTGTTGCGGGTAAGTCGAATGCAACAATGAGAGACAAGCAGGCCACTCCCACTGAGCCTCCCTGGCATGTCCTTTTAACCCCCCCCCCCCCCCCCGATCCCGCCCACCCCCCAAGCTTCTACGAATTGCTTAAGATCCCCCAAAACAATTACAAGACTCTTCCTTATCAGGGGAATATAGGGATTTGTATTGTTTTGGGGTTCTTAGGCAAATAGTAGCCTTTTTGGGGTACTAGGCAGCCAGATCCTCCGACGTCACGTTCCCTGAAGTGCGAGACCCAAGAGTAGCCTAGGACGCAGGAGGGGGTGCCCCTTTTGATTTGCAGGGGCGATCATAAGGGAACCTAATCCTCCCAAAAACAAGGGGAACAAGGGCCTTATCCGGGCTGGCCCTGCAAGGCCGGGGCTATCTGGATAGACCCTGGCCCCCATCCTCTCTTGGATCTCTATGATCGGTTCCAAGATCGTGTTGAGCTTCATCTGGTTGCTGATGCTCTGGCTTTCCAGCTTGTCCACAGTGTCTGACAGGTCCTGGAGTACCCTGAACCAAAGGCGCTGTGCTCTAATCGGTGCACAACCAAATATATTCAGAGAACTGAACCCAAAAACAGTTTAGGGTTTAGGGTTTAAGGACACCCTGACAATCCCAACAGAGACACGCACTGAGTGCACATCTTATATGAAGTACCCCTTTAAAGGGAGCCCATGAGTGAGATGACTTGCACCAAGGCGCCTGGCAAGCACAAGAGCTCCTCCGCTGCCTGGGGAGTCTAGTATAGGGGCCTGAATAATCAGAATAGGGTTTTTGAGTTTTTTGGGGGGGCGATTATAGTATGATTACAAAGGGTTCCTGTAAGGGAATGTTATTAGCAATTCTACACCACCCTCATAATAATTCGGGAGGTGGGAGTTGAGCTGGGTGTTGCTTGGGGAACAAGTGAACCCTAAAAACGAGATCATCTGTATGTTTAGGGCTTAGTGTCTAGGGGGGCCATATACCCCAAACTACCACGATCCCGATTGGGGTGTATGGTTCGCGTTCCTTCCCTTCATCCCCAAGGCAGGTAGTTATGGCTGGTAGCTTGCGTGGGATTCCAAAGCACAAGAATGCTTTGGAATGCTCTGGATACGTATACAGGGTAGGGCCCCCTAGTTATAAGTAGAGTTATAAGGGCCCTAAATTGGGTTATAAGGACCCTAAGTTAGGTTATATGGTGAGTTCTCGAAATTTGGTCCATGTTTGGTTGCCCTAGACAATAGGGCCCGCCTTTTCATAGTAACCCCAAGAGGGACCCTAATTTAGAGAATCCACTTTTTATGTTTATGTATATGTAGATATATATATATATATACATATACGCTAATATGACTGATGCGTTGAATCTATGCAAGGAACGTGCAAGAAATCATTTTCCGTTGGACTGCACATTAAACGCTTGGGGTGGCGGGGCGGGGGGGGGGGGGGGGGGGGTGGGGGAGTATGGTTCAGCTTCGGCCGTTTGGTTTAGTAGGGTTTAAGGTTTAGGGTTTTTGGCTTTGGTTTCTCTTTCAAATAGTCCTTGGGAGGCTTAAAACCCTCAGCCCCTCAGCCCCAAACCAGTCAGTCATTAAATGCCTGCACCGAGGCGTCTGTGTTTTTGAGCCAAGGCTTAGGAGGTCTAGCCTGAACTGTGAGCCCTCAGAAGCCCTACGCTCCGAACCGTACAAACCCTCTGAAGCCCTCACCCCAAAAAACAGCAAAGCCCTACAAACCCTTTTTCGCCCTCAACCCTAGACACCATAAACAAACCCTTAGAAGCCCTCAAACCTAAACACCAAAACCCTACAAACCCTTAAAAGCCCTCAAACCTAGACACTAAAGCCCTACAAACCCTTATAGGCCCTCAACCCGAAACACCGAAACCCTACAAACCCTTGTAGGCCCTGAATTGGGATGTTCCCCCCAGTCCTTAATTATAGTACCTCTACTTAGAATCCCTATTAAGGACTGTTAGCAGAAGAGGGAACATCCCAAGTCCTCAACCCTAACCACCAGAAACCGTTAGGGACGCAGCCAACAAAGCCCCCGCGCGTCCGCAGCCGTGGCTGGCTGCGGGCAGAAGCACGAGGCCTCCGGGGGTAGGGAATCTAAGGCTTGGGGTTCTATGGAAGGTTTATCGGGTTTAGAGGGTTTCCAGGGTTTTATTGGGTGTTATAGGGTTGAAGGGGTTTATTGGTGTTATTGGGTTTTGGAGTTTAGGATTTAGGAGTTCGGAGGGTTTTGGAGTTCAGGGTTGAAGGGGTTAAGAGTTGAGGGTTTGAAGTTTGCGGGCTTTATGAGCATTTCCCCAAGTTAAGCTCAATTCTTGTGTAGCCTCCGCATTATGTTCGGAACACAAGGGGGCCCTCACGCCTTGGGGACCAAATGAACCCTAAGACGTGTATGCTCCACATACCCCAGCAGGGATTATCCTAGCAAAGGGTGTGTGATCTCAATTTTGGGGTTCATGTGGTCCCTCAACCCTAACCCCTAAGCCCGAAGGCTACAGCAAATTCCCCCGCATTTGGAGAGACTCTGATCCGTGAGGCCAAGTAGGTTTGCCAGCGGTTCCGAAACCCCAAAAGCCCTAAAACCCTAAACCCTTAACCAGAAAGCTGGCATTGCTCTTGCCTGGACTCTGAGAAGGTCGGAGATACACTCTTCGAGACTCGACGGGTTTAGGGGTTAGGGTTCAGGCTTTAGGGTTCAAGGATTGAACCCTAAAAAGGTTACTGGTCCACAAAGACCCTATTACAAAGTAGAGCTCGTAGCAAAGGGTATCTGATCCCAATCTTGAACTCCTTTGGCCCCCTAAGTTAAGCCGCGTTCTTGACGAAGAACCCCTTGATCTCAGGTGTCCGGGTCCAAAACCCTAAACCCTAAACCCTAACCCCTAAACCCTGAACCCGAAACCCTAAACCCTGACAGAAGCCGCACCTGGCCGACTCATGATGGGGGAACTTGAAACTCCACCCAAGCTCCATGGCTGCGGCATGTCCGGTTTAGATGTCTGCTCCCTGGTATGCTGACGATGCGCGCGCGCACGGTTCCACGTTGCGCTTCTGTCACAGAACGATGTAGGACAGAGAACTTAACCCAAACCCTAAACCCTAAACCCTAAACCCTAAACCCTAAACCCTAAACCCTAAACCCTAAACCCCAAAGCCTGAACTATCATGAATTTAAACAACAGTTTGCTCGTCACTGCGCGTCACGCTTGAAAGCCTGAGCCGCTCGTGTGGCCCTTGAGCTGCAAGATTTAAGCACTAACCCCCCTTGAGAATGCCATTACCCGCAAAGTCCAGTTTCATGTAGGATGTTGGCAAATTTTGTTTCCCTAAACCCCCAAACCCTATAGGGTTGAGTATTGAAATGTGCGTCCTAAGAAGCCACAACTTTCGGCTCTTCTTATGACCGCTCCAACCTTTATGGCCCAGGTCTTAGGGTTTCTAGGGTTTAGGGTCAGGGCTTGTGGCCCAAGTGCCCTAAGAGGGATTGTAGTGGCATAGGGTATCTTATCCCCATTTTGGGCTTCATGTGGCCCAACGTCATTGATCCCAACAGAGGTCGCCATAGGTAGGTCCCTGGATGTATAGGTGGTGTGTACGAAACCCTAAACCCGAAACCCTAAGCTTTCTATAGGGCTCATCGAGATTCGGAGGGCTTACGTGGTGAAACGCGCCCTGGGCAAGCGACAGTGCAGGAGGTTTGAGTCCCAACTACAGGTATTTCCAAAAATGGGCGGTACCCCCTAAACCCTAAACCCTAAACCCTCTAAACCCCTAACCCTCTAAACCCTAAACCCTAAACCCTAAACCCTAAACCCTAAACCCTATCCCTTATGTATCCCCCAAAGTAGTAGTAAACTGACTTCGAGGAGCTGCCAAAAAGTGTGCACTGTTTTCGGGAATCCGCGTATACGGCCCTGGAACTCGCGTGTGAACACAAGACATCAGGGCTAAGCGGTTTGAAAAGGAAAGACGCTGAAGAGGGTCTAGGGTTTAGGGTTTAGGGTTCAGGGTTCAGGGTTCAGGGTTCAGGGTTTAGGGTTTAGGGTTTAGGGTTTCGCGGTTGTCAGGTTCAGGCAGGCACCCATTCGACACACCATTCTAAAAGTGCAACAAAAAGGCCACTCCCACCCCCGCCGGCCTCTTGCAAGCCCCATGCACGCTTAGACGACCCAAACAGTCAACCATTACATCTGAACCCTAAACCCTAAACCCTAAACCCTAAACCCTAAACCCTAAACCCTAAACCAAGGAAAAGCATCCCACAAGCCCACAAGCACGGGGCCGCGCACCGTCGGAACTGCAGCCCTATCCTGCAGGCTTGGCAGCTTCGGTGTCCTCCTGACATCGGGGGCTGACAGTTCGGTTTAGGGTTTAGGGTCTAGGGTTTAGGGTTTAGGGTTTAGGGTTTAGGGTTTAGGGTTTAGGGTTTAGGGTTCGACCCGAGGGTTTAAAGCTTAGTCTCTGCATTCCAGTTTTCGGGTCTATGGACCAAGCCATGGGATGCAGAGCTTTTGTGGACGAAGTTCCGGGGGTGAGCTACGGACACCGAAGGGTGAGGCGTTCTTTCCGAAAAGCCCTGAATCTTGGGAAGCTCACCCTTATACTAACAGTCCTTAACAGGGATTATAATGGGGGGGGTACTGTATTCCCTACTCAGGACTGCCCGAAATTCTGAGAAACCCCATTTTTCTTTCTGCTGACACTTCTGACTCCATGAGCGCCTTCCATCTGATGTCGCGCTTCTGTCACACTATATTCAACATACGCCTTACTTGGAGGTTCATGGGTACTTGTAACCGCAGTTGTAAGTCTACTTGTAACCTACTTAGGGGACGTAGGGGGCTTCTAAGTACACTTTAACGTTGGGGTCATAAGTACCCTGAACCTCCAAGCATACCCTTACAAGAAATTCAGGGGCATGGAAAAATCCTTCCTTGCACTCTCCTTCTTTATAGGTTACGGGGCGTGGGCTTGGGATAATGCTGAACTATTCTTGGACATCTAGACCCAAGAGGAACCTAGGAATAGGGAGGGTGCCCTTGTTGCTCTAAAGGGGCTTAAAGTCCAAACAATGGGAATAAGGGCCCACTCCAGGTCCTAGCCCTAAACCCTAAACCCTAAACCCTAAACCGTAAACCCCAAACCCCAAACCCCAAATAAAGTGAATAAGGGCCCACTCTGGGCCCTGAACGCACTTTCTTGGGAATGCTCCGGCGCCTGCTCCGCACGTTGGCCTCGATGAAGTCCCAAGGGTCATCTGCCAAGGTGAGGGGATCAAAGAGGTCACCCTAAACCCTAAACCCTAAACCCTAAACCCTAAGCCCTAAGCCCTAAACCCTAAGCCCTAAACCCTAATCCCTAAACCCTACAACCTGAACCCTAAATCTCGCTTCTTTGCTGTTGGGGCTTTGTGCTCAGCCCTGGAGACTTTGTACTGAGCCCTGGACGGTCTGTGATCCGTAAAGGTTCTTAGTAATTAGGGTTTAGGGTTTAGGGTTTAGGGTTCAGGGTTTAGGGTTTAGGGTTTAGGGTTTAGGGATATCCTTTAAGGGATTGTGTAGGGTACTCATTCCCACATTGCCAAGAGGCTGTTGATCCCAGCTTAGGTCCCTAAGGAAGTCCTTTGGGCTGCCCGGGCTTTGTGCATTTCAGGTTTTACTGGCTTTAGGGTTTAGGGTTTAGGGTTTAGGGTTTAGGGTTTAGGGGGTTAGGGTTTAGGGCATTTTTTTGGTGGTGTAAGAAATTTGGGCGATTCAGGGCATTAGGCCTCTTCTGCAAGGGCTTTGCGAGGTTTCGTCACAGGACGTCTGAATTCCGCAGCAGCCCGAGATTGAAAAGCGTGCCCGCTTGCTTGAAGTCTGGGAGAGGGGAGGTGGGGAAATCAAGTCCTCTAATTCAGCCTGAAGCTAAACCCAAAAGTCAAGCCTTATAGTCTGAAAGGGAAACCAAAACGGCGACAGTCGGATTCCCTGGGAAGTTGGGTGCTGGTTTGGGCATCAGTGCTACATGGGGGCAACACAGGGGCCGAAGTAATGACCGCGATCACACATGAAAGCTGTAATTGTTGTAGCTGAAGATCTCGGCAGTGAAATTTTGTAGCATAGATGTGAATATAGGAATGAAAATTGTAAAACAGCAAATACACTTATTGTATATGTATATCAAATTGTGTACCTATACAGATATGATGCATATACATATAACTACCCAAAAAGGCCTATTCTGATTAGCTAGACTGAGAATCCAGGGAACGAAAGGGCAGCCCTTATGTTCTATAGATGCTTTTGAAACCGAATAGAGAGGGGAAGATTTGTGGGAACATCAGCAAATATACACTGCCCCCATCTCATTCCAGCTAGGCCCTACACCCTAAACCCTAAACCCTGAACCCGAAACCCTAAACCCTCTACAGAATATCTGAGCCACGCCCACCTGGCTGGTCTTTCAGGAGGTTCTGGAGGATGTCCTGCGCACAACCAAGGGCTCTTCGAAACCACAGGCGACACGCGACAAGTGCGGTTTAGGGTTTAGGCTTTAGGGGGTTTGGGGGGTTTGGGGGGTTTAGGGTTTCTTGATTAGGGGTTTAGGTTGGGATGTTCCCCCCTCATACTAGCAGTCCTTAATAGGGATGATGGCACCCAGTATTATAATCCCGGTTAAGGACTGTTAGTATAAGGGGAAACATCCCAAGGTTTAGGGGGTTAGGGGTTTAGGGCCTATCTCCATCCATCCCGTATCACCCCGCTGTTACAACAGGGGGCTTAGTGTTTAGGGTTTAGGGTTTAGGGTGAGCCCCTCAAACTTTAAATCACTGTGAAACATTCCATGTCAGGCCCTCTTAAACTCAATACCCTGAACCCTCAAGCCCTCTGAAACCTAAACCTCAACTTACAAGACATGCCAGGAGCCTAAACACTCGAAACCCCGAAAAACCCAAAAACAAAAACAAACCCTAACATCCCCCAAAACAGCCAGAGAGAAAACCCTAGAATGCCTGACCCTAAACCCTAAACCCTAAACCCTAAACCCTAAACCCTAAACCCTAAACCCTAAACCTCCAACAGCCCCAAAAGGCCCCGGGGCAGCAGGGGTTCTGTCGCTCCTGCATCCAAGTGAGAAGCTCGTGGCGCTCCAGGTAGCTGCGAGCCTGGAGAGCCTCAAAGGTGGTTTGGGGTTTAGGGTTTAGGGTTTAGGGTTTGGGGTTTGGGGTTTGGGGTTTAGGGTTTGGGGTTTAGGGTTTGGGGTTTAGGGTTTGGGGTTTAGGGTGTTCGTGCAGAGGTTCTGGGAAGTAACCCTAGAAAGGCGAAATCAAACCCCTATAAAACCCTCATGCCCCTTAGGCCGAAACCCTGAAGCCTAAACCCCAAAGTCAAGGAACTGGGTAGCTTCGAAACTAGGCCCAAGACTAGCCCAGGAGCAAAAAAGGGTGCTCTTTTTGGGGTAATTCGCGGCGTTTAAGGGGAAACCCCACACCCTAAAACTTAGGGTTTACGGTTTAGGGTTTGGGGTTTCCTACTCTGGGCTCCAGCGCCAACTCACAGCTTGACCGCGTAGACTAAAGGCCTGATCTTCGGCCCATCTCAACATCTGACTAATCTCGGTGGAACCCTGAAGAGAGGTTTAGGGTTTAGGGTTTATAGGGCTTAGGGTCTAGGGTTTAGGGTTTAGGGTTTAGGGGACTCTATCTAGACATTCGAGACCCCTAAACCCTAAACCCTAAACCCTGAACCCCAAACGCGGCAAAGCTCGGATCTGAGAACAGGGCCTGCTGCTTCAGGCCTGACATGGGAGATCGCAGGTAGCAGGGAACAAGGGTTGTGTTTAGGGTTTGGGGTTTAGGGTTTAGGGTTTAGGTTTAGGGGCCTGTACAAGGTGAAGAGATTCTTCATTTGCGGCTGACTCTCGTATACGGCATGGAGTGGTTTTTGGTTTAGGGTTTAGGGTGTAAGGTTTAGGGTTTAGGGGTTTAGGGG